ACCGACTCCTGAGACGCTGCCGGGGTGCCGAACCAAGGGCCAGTCTATCGGTGTGTCGGAGGAACGAGTTAGGCCTGCAACCTGCTATCCTCTTGCAGAAAGCACATACTCTTTACGCGACCCAGAGGTCCAAAAAGGAGGGGGGTCGGGACGTTTCAGGTCCGTGGGCTCGCATGCGCAACGTGGTATTGTAATTATCCATAGTGTCAGGCGCCTATTCGCGTGCGTTCGCCCCACCAGCTTTCGCCAGTCTGCAGCGTCTTCTCCAGATCTTCTTCGGCCCTTCTAGAGCTGACAAAGGGCCCGTCATCTCGGATCCCGTGCAGCTGAGGCCCGCGAAGCCGCCTGGGGTTCGCATGAGAGCTGGGAGCTCGATGCCTGTCTTGCTTCGCATATATGTGTTGAGCGTAAGAGGCGTCAATAACGGCGGTGATCGCTGGGTAAATAGTTGCAGAGTGACAGGAAAGAGCGGCAATTTGCCTAATTATGTGCTGCTACATTGGGTCGTTTGCTGCGTCATATGCCCTTAAGTGGTGGCTGCGAATTGATATTAATATTGCCGTTTTGGGACGAATCGCTTGGTAAGAGGCGCACGCGCCGTTGAGGTTAATTTGGTAGTAAAAGGGCCCAAAGAGAAGCGGTGACGATGAAGTATCTCCAAAGTGCGATGGACTGACGATGATAAAGTTTTGTTTCGCTATACGGTGTAGCTATGTAGGTGATCTTGCTAATGACGCGTCTTTAGTCTTCGGCCTTGGCGCTTTATGTCCGTTATTTCCAGATTCGCCGGAGTATACTCCTACAGGTATCATCCCGTCCTTGAGGCAACAGCCGCTCAAGATATATAACTATTTCCATTCATTCCGTTGCAAAGGTACTATGCGTACTGCTGCCCTCACAAGATTGTCAAATCTACGTTCTCAATTGCCCCTTCCCAGGTCACCTCGGTCCTTCCATACGTCATCAGCAATGATGGCAGGGCTCACCATCAACTCGCAACAGACCATGCCATCAGGCTACAAGATCCCCGTCCTTGGATATGGCGTTTACCAAACACCAGCAGACATCGCTTCCGAGGTGGTTGAGCACGCGCTCAATGTCGGCTATCGCCACGTTGATTCTGCCGTCGCCTACCGGAACGAGCAACCATCTGCGGAAGGCATGAAGAAGTCGGGCATTCCAAGAGAAGAGCTATTCTTCACGACAAAGATCCCTCCGAAAGACATGAGCTATGAGAACTCGAAACAGCACATTGAAAACACCCTCAAGATCACCGGATTCGATTACGTCGATCTCTACCTCCTGCACAGTCCCTACGGCGGTAAGGAGAACCGCATCGGTGCGTGGAAAGCGCTAGTTGAGGGTGTACAGGCAGGCAAGATTCGCTCAATTGGCGTTTCGAACTACGGCGTGCATCATCTAGAAGAGCTAGAAGCGTGGACCAAAGAGACGGAGGCAAAAGAGGGGAAGGGCAAAGGTGGAGTCCTCAGCGTCAATCAGGTAGAGCTTCACCCGTGGCTCGCGCGTCCAGACATCGTAGACTGGTGCAAGCAGCGAGGTGTGTTATGCGAAGCATACAGTCCAATCGTGCGCGCAACAAAAAACGACGATCCGCTGCTCAAGCCACTCACGAAGAAGTACAACAAGACGCCTTCGCAGATATTGCTGAGATGGAGTATACAGATGGTGAGCATGAATGCAATAACTCTTTGCTAGGAAGCAATGAACTGATGTTGCTGTTACAGGGATTCATACCGCTCCCCAAATCCGTAACCAAATCTCGCATCGAGGAGAACGCCCAAATCTATGACTTCGAGCTCACAGCCGAAGAGATGAAGAGCCTGGATACCGGAGTGTATGAGCCCTGCGCATGGGATCCCACCGTCAGTCACGACTAAAGTCGTGAACATATGCATGTATCTACCGAGAAGCCAACGTAGATTCAAGGTTCAGAGCTCATGTCGTTCCACATCGGAAATCCGTGTCCATAATTTCCAGGGCTTCTACCCGTGGAGTGAGCACGAACATCGGGTAGTGTGGCCACTGATCATCCACCACACACCAGTCTTCCATATCAACATCTGCTTTCGCTTCACATTCTACATGCGCTCTTGGGGTTTCCCAGAGCCAATTCCGTGTCCAGTCACCAATCCAAAAAGTTGCTCTTTCCAGCTCTTGCCCTTGCTTCTTGTCTCGCATGTAATTGAAGATATTCAGCGCATCTTTTTTGTTGAGAAATAGGTATCTGCCGCCTTCTGCCTCTGCGTACTGTTCTCCGAGGGCGCGGAGCTCTTTGTAACTCCACTCCCGTGGCCCGAGTATGTCTATCCAAAAGTCTGCTTCTCGTAGCGTGGATATGGAAACGATCTTTCCCAGCGTTTCCAAGGGTGAGCTGCTAGCGTTACGGAAGACGTTTATGCTTAGATGCCTGATTTTCTTTGCGCTCTTCCTTATCATCTGAATCTCGTCGTCGAGATCGCCGTCATACCTGCCTGGATAATGCTCAGTATCCCAGCGCAGCTCAAGACTCTCCAAAGATCGGCCCTGCTGGTTCAGAACATCTTCGAAGAGGACGGTATCGCGCTCGCCGTTGACAAGAGACAGGTGCTTCAACGTGTTCTTTGGCAAGTTGAGGATGAGTTCGCCGTCTGTCGTGTTCAGCGAGCGCAACGCTTGCGACCGCGAGAGAACCTTCCGCACGCTTTCCGGGACGGTGTCTACAGAAAGCTCCTCGATACGCGTCCAGTTCATTGCGTCAAGCCACAGCTCCGCGTTGGTCTTCTCGCACTGCTCTTTCGATTGAGTGCGCCATCCAAGCCAGCTTATCCAATGGCCTTTGTAAACCCAATACAATGTGTCCATGAAGCATTCCAGCTTGCCTGGCGCTAGACACTTCGGCCCTTTCCAAATTTCGTGATGCTGCAATGTCTCCCACTGATAGCCTTCAACCTTCAAAGATTTGATATCGGGATATTTTTCACCGCCGAAAGGGCTGAGCGGTAGGTTCATCCGGTCGGGCCATGTACTGCAGGATCCGTAGACACTGATGTCGAGGGTGGATATGTTAGGGCAGGTAAGGAGGGCTGAGTGGACGGAGTCCCAGGTTGTGAAGGGCGTGACGTCGTATGGATAGCGGTCGTCGAGGGACCGGGAAGGGTCAGCATCAATTTTTGCCTCGATGGAAGTGGGACAGGGGTCTTTTGAATCCCAAAGCGCTAGCGCAGTTGACAGGATGGAAAAAAGAAAGAATACGTGAGTGTAGAGGCGCATAGTAGATGGTGTGCAGGATGGTGGGTGGCAATGTCAGTACCTAGCGTTGAGTATCGATGCATCATCTAGCTGGAGTCCGCCTGATATAATGTACCTGTTTTGCTACAGGATGATTCAAACTATGCGCAATGTTGTCATGTTGTCTTCTTGGTGTTTTTACTGTTGCCTGAGCGCGACGGCCTCAACAAGGCTCTTGCACGACGTTCAGGCGTCCAGGACTGCGACTCTTGCGATGTGGACACATGTGTGATGCTGCTGAATTCTAGTGGCACGGACCTTAGGACCCAGTGTGCTTTTTGACGTCTCCAGGACACCTTTACAGGCGTTCTTCTGCAGCCTGGCCATATGTATTTCGTTCTCTTGCAGTTGCGTACGCTCGTAGTGAATGTTTGGAGGAGTTGAGGAATTGAGATGGATGGCACAAGCGAGTCATCTCGCGATGCGGGACGAGTCATGCAACGAACCGCCTTCACACGCGACGCGACGTGTCTTCTTCGCGTACAAGGTCGCCCATCAAGACGATGACGCAAGGTTGTGCCGAGGTTATCCGAGACAGAGCATCGAAGTTTATGCAACACGTCGACTACCTAAGTGGAGAGTTGGGTGGGTGTGACGTTTCTAAAGGACAGAAGGCGCCTACGTCATACTGACCTTGCAGCGAAAACCATAAACATATACACCAACCCCTCGTATCGCCATTCCCATCTCTCATACAACACAGCTTGATACCCAATTGACTTCTCGAATTTCAAAATAACAAACAACCAGTTCCCACCAACCTACACATACAACTCCAAATCAGCCATCATGGCGGCAAACAAGAAAGTCCTCATCGTCCTCTCCGACGCGTCCTCCTTCCCCCTATACAACACTGGAAGTGATGGAAAGACCGTATCTCAAGACTCAGGCTACTTCCTCATGGAGCTAGCGAAGCCTCTCCAAAAGATCCTCGACGCCGGCTACGAAGTGACATTCGCATCACCAGAGGGCAAAGAACCCACACCAGACCCACTCAGCGTATCTCTCGCAGCCTTTGCTGGAAACTACTACGAGAAGCAAAGAGAGCTGGAGCTCATCGAGCGCATGAAGAAAGAGAACGGCTTCTCGCGACCAAAGAAGTTCTCCGAGATCAGCGACGACGAACTGAAGAACTACGGCGGTGTCTTCATCCCCGGCGGTCACGCTCCTTTGTCCGACTTGGGCGACAATGCGGATCTCGGTCGCATACTCACACACTTCCACACTTCGTCTAAGCCAACGGCTGCTATCTGCCATGGACCCTGGGCCTTCCTTTCGACCAAGTACGGTCCGAGCAAGAAGTTTGAGTACGCTGGCTACAAGATGACGAGCTGGTCGGATGCCGAGGAGAAGTTGATGGAGACGATCTTCCGTGGCGAGATTGACAAGGTTGAGGGTACGCTGAGGGAAGAGGGCGCAGATATGCAGGAGGGTGTTGCTAAGTCCATGGGAAGTATTACTGTGGATAGAGAGCTTGTTACTGGTGATAACCCGATGGCGGCCAATGCGCTGGGCGACAAGTTTTTGGAGATGATGGCTGCGAAGTAAACGGGAACTGGTGGAGCGCCGGGATGATACGGTGTTATGTATGATTAGATGAGCTATGAAATCATGTCCAATGACCACGTCGCCTCTTCTTAAGCCCAGTGTTGGGCCTCATGTCGAACTCTTCCTTCCTATACCTAACCCTCATTCTCTCCTCCACATGGCCCTCAAAACCTCCCAAGCACTTCTGCGCCCTCCTCATCTTCCTCTCCACCAACCTCCTCAAACCTACCGCCGTAGGTCTTCTTGCGGGTATACTCTGATTACACAGTTCAAATATCCGGATCAAATCCCTCGTATAGTTCGGCTCATTCATCGTAGGCGCCAGCACGGGAATAGTATGCTTAGAAAAGCGACTTTGAGATGGATCTGAATGTATAGTATTAGTGATAGCCCCGTGACAAAGGCTTTGAGCCTTGTGGGGAGCGAGAAAACTGTGCATCATCTCCCAAAGTACGGTGCCCAAAGACCAGATGTCTGTTTTGCAGGAGAGCGGCTGCCTTTGGAAGTAACCGAAGCCTCGTGAGTCGGGGTCTAGGGTGTGCAGCTCGATATTGTTCTCGGGTGCAGCGTAGCCTCGGGTGAACAAGTGGTACTTCTTGGTGTACTCCTCATATCCAAAGAGCTCGAGTATGTCATCAAGGTCTGCTAGCACAGGCCGTGGAAAAGAAGCGAAGGGTTCCTGGGGTTCCACGAGGAAGATGTTGCTGGGCTTGATGTCGCGATGCACTTTTGGTATCCAACCAAAGGCTTCTGCTGCATCATCTACACCCGGCGTGTACGTCAACCCGCATGTGAGATTGTAAATTGCTTCGGAGAGTGTGATGAGTATGATCCAAAACATGGGTTCAGGAATCTGGTCGTCAGTGTCCTGCTGCCATTTCCCCGCACTGTAGTTCTCAATAATGTCGGACAGCGTGCCTGCAGAACAATAGTCCATATATCTTTTCACCTCGTACCTGTGTTTCGAAGTGAGGCCGATATGCTCGCCGTGGTCATGACACGACCAGAACCTGTGTTTTAGTATTGCGCCGGAATTGGGGAGGGTGTCGATGATCCGGCAAACTGCCTGTCGCTCGTTGAAGATGGCTCTGTCATCCGTCGTGACCTTTTTTATCACAAAGCGCTAGATAGATGTTAGTACGTATCGGCGACGGGAAAATGAATCTCGTGACTCACGTCGTGTATAGTGTTGGTCTCATCCAGCACGATGTACAAACGTATAATCACGCGTTTCTCATCATCGCTTTCGTCAGATAGGGTCTGTAAGAACTGATATCGGAGATCTGAGGCCATATTCACTATTCTGCATTGGAATTTATGCTGATGTTAGGTATTATCGTAGCAGTTTGCTCTGGTCGACTGCTCCGATGTTGGGCACATCTTGCGGTAAGTGCTGCCAGATCAGTGTACAACCGAGTTTTTCATAAAGAAGACGATCAACTCAAACAAAGGCGTCTTTGAGATGCTGCGTCGTCGTGATTTGCCAAAGCTCTTTGTCCTGAATAGCAGTAGAAGGAGCGATGTATGACGTCATCAAGTATGACGGTCGCATCTTATTGGCGTGAGAAGAGTATCGCATGTAATCTCCGTGTGTATGCGCACAACGTCAGTAATTCTCTCCGCTATATCAAGCGCCGTTGCTGATGGACAGGCAGTCGTGATGCTGTGTGTGAGAAGGTCGAGTGTCATGCTTCGCGACCTGGTCGGAAGCACCTAAGCGAAGCGCGTCGCCCCCGGTCCACGCGCCGAGCATCCTCATCCACTTTTCGCGTCAAGTATCATTCGATGATAAAGGCAGCTTCTGCAGCACCGAGGCAGAGGCAGATAGTCCAAGATAACACGACTGCAATTAGCTCTCACTGACCCCGCATCCGAACGATAGCTAACACCGATCATCCTCAACATTCCAATCATCGCCAGTGCCGTAATTGCGGCATCCATCAGACGCCTTCCCCAAGCGCAATGGTGACTGCCACTATGGGCAGGGCGCAGTGTCTGACAGCGGCAATGGGGCCTCTGATAGCACGAACGCTATTGTATTTGACAATGCTCGGCGCGGCCTCGGCGCATTAGCAGCAGCTCCAGAAAAGCATGGTTATAGTATGACGCAGGGCCATCCAGTAACCCATCATCGAGTCCTCGTTGTAAGACTGGGATAGCCTCAACCTCATCGCTGAACCGCGATTCGGCTACGACACCATGGCCACGCCTGGTTACAGACTCGGCGTTGATGTTGGAGGGTAAGTAATGATCGCCTCAATTTTGCCTCATGGACCGGTGGGAGGCCTGGACGCCCACCCGCTAGCTTCTTCCTGGCATCGGCGGCGAACAGGCAGAACTTCCCCGAATCCACAGCTGCGAGCACCTCGCGGCCTGTCTGAACACGGCCCATGTCAAGGAGCGCGGCTAACACGATCCTAGAACCTTCACCGACGGTACGGCCCTTTTCCACAAAGTAGCTTCATCTTTTAATCGAGTCTAGTCTGCGTCATCACCCCGAACGGCGAAGCGGTACGCACAAAAGTGCCGACCAACACGACGGACCAGTCGATTGGTGTGCAGGACGGAGTGCAACAGGCACGCAAAATCCTGAAAGAGAAGTACAACTGGGACGGCAAATTCGAGTACATACATCATGGCACAACCACAGGTACCAATGCGGTGCTTGAAGGCAAAGGCGCCAAATGCGGTCTCATCGTCACCAAGGGTCACAAGGACATACTGTCCACACGGCGAAGCCAGATACCAGGCGGATTAGGCTCATGGATGCACTACGAACAGCCCGACCCCCTCGTGCCTCTCGAGAGGACTGTGGAAGTCAAAGAGCGTATCAAGATTGACGGTGAAGTCTTCTACGAGCTGGACGAGGATGAATTACGAAAGGACTTGCAGGATCTGAAGAGACAGCAACCGCAAGCAATTGCCGTATCGCTGATTAATTCCTTCGCCAATAGCGCACACGAAGAACGCATCAGGGCCATATTGAGCAGCGAGTTTGGGCCAGATGTCGAGATCGTTACTTCTACAGATGTGCTGCCGGAGATCCAAGAATATGAGCGTACCGTTACGACAGCCGCCAATGCGATCGTCAAACCGGTGGTCAAGAGTTATATGCAGAACCTGCAAAAAAAGCTCGAGAAAGACACTGACACAATCCGCATCTTGAAATCCGATGGCGACCTGACTTCAACCCATCTTGCTGGCGAGACACCGGTGCGCATCCTCATGAGTGGGCCAGCTGGTGGCGTCAAGGCTGTTTCTCATCTCGTCGCGAAGAACACGCCCTACAAGAATCTCATTACATTCGACATGGGCGGAACTTCCACTGACTGCGCTCTGCTCCCGGGAAGCGATGCCATCATCCGACGAGAGACCGCGATTGGTCATCTATCAGTACGAGCACCCAGCGTGGATGTCAATACTGTAGGAGCCGGCGGTGGCTCTATCGCAATATTCAATGAATTCACGAAGACGTTGCGTGTTGGACCTGAGTCCAGCGGTGCTACACCTGGACCTGCAGCTTACGGAAAAGGTGGCACCCAAGCGACTGTGACCGATGCAAACTTGGCGTTAGGTCGCCTTCCGTCGAAACTGCTCGGTGGAAAGTTCCAGTTGGATGTCGCCGCATCTACAGCAGCAGTCGAATCGATCGCTAAGCAAATGGGTCTTGATACAGCTTCCGCAGCTGAGGGCATTATCGACCTGGTAAACGAATCCATGTACGGTGCTCTGCGGCTGGTATCTGTCGAGCAAGGTTACGATCCACGCGACTTCGCATTGGTTGCTCTCGGTGGTGCTGGTCCACTTCATGGTAACGCCCTTGGCCAGCTCCTCGGTTCCTGGCCTGTTATTGTCCCTCCCTCTCCCGGTGTGCTATGTGCTCAAGGTGATGCTATCACGAAGATGTCGCATGAGCAGAGTTGCACATACATTCGCGCGTTCTCTGAGATAACCGAGGAAGAGCTCAAAGAGACGTTATTGGATCTCAAGTCCGGCGGTGTAGGAACGATGAAGACCTCGCTTGCAGACGAAAACGCTGCTCTGCATGTCGTGTACCAAGCAGATATGCGTTACAAGGGCCAAGCTATGACACTTACTGTGGATCTGACTTCCGACGAGTTCAATAACTCCCAAAAGCTGGTGGATATATTCCGTTCCAAGTTCAACGAGGCCCACCAACATCAATTCGGCTTCTCACATGCGCATGCTGAGCTGGAAACAATGCGCTTGCGTGCTAAAGTCATTGACGCTTCCGAAGAGGTGGCCTTCAAACCCCTGGAAGATGCTCGTACTTCTGAACCTTGCGAAGACGCCATCACAGCTAAACAGGTTATCGTCTGGGATGGGAAGAAGGTCGAGGCAACTTTCTGGGATCGGTCCAAGATCAGAGGAGCTGGCAAAATCATACATGGTCCAGCGGTTGTTACTGAGATGGACTCGAACACCCTCATCCTTCCTGGATACTACGGAAAGATCGACTCCATCGGCAACATACTCATCTGGCCCACCGAGAAAAAGGAACACGGAAAGATCGCGCATACCAAAGAGGCGGCTCAAGAATTGATCAAAGAGCAGCCCATCATCGCCACTCTGATCGCCTCCGCACTGAGTTCTATCAGACGAGAAATGGATGCTCTTCTGCTTCGTTGCGCCATGAGCCCGGCGATTCGGGAACAACAAGACGAATTCAATGTCATCACCAACAGACGTGGCCAAATGCTTGTCGGTCAATTTGGGTCTTTCATACAGCAGTTTCTGGACGGTTGGAAAGGCACAGTCGAAGAAGGCGACGTGTTCGTCACAAATGATGTATACCAGACCGACGGCGCCGTATCGCATCTTAACGACGTTCTCGTAGTACTCCCCATTTACTACGAGCACAACCTCATAGGTTGGGCAGCAAATTTCGGCCACATAACTGATATGCAAGGAAAAGTACCAGGTTCTATGAGCATCAACGCCAGCACCATCTACGAGGACGGCCTTCAAGTACCTATTGTGAAGCTCTACACAAAGGGTGTCTACAATGAAACTCTCGCGACGGTACTCTTCCGCAATTCCCGTACACCAGACTGGTTTCAAAGTGACCTCATGGCGCTTGTTACCGCTTGCCGCACAGCTGCTACGCGTGTCACCGAACTATGCGGGCGCTACAGTCTGGAGGTATACGAGGCAGCTGCGGATTACCTACTGGAGCAAAACAAGCTTGCCATTAGCAGGATCATCAATGACAAGATCAGCGATGAGGTGTCAAGCTTCACTGATTTCATCGACGACGATGGTCAAGGAGTTGGTCCATATGCCATCACTTGTTCCATGAAGAAGGAGAACGGGAAGCTTATTTTCGATTGGGATGGCACTTCGCCGCAGTCCAACAGCTCGATGAACTTCTATCTGTCTATCACGTTATTAAAGATGTTCATCGGTTACCATTTGCTCGCCATCTACGATCCGTACGCTGTAAGTAAATCAAGCGCCAGAATATGACGAAACGTAACTAATTCTGGTAGGTGGTGAACGATGGATTCCATGAATTGCTAGACATCAAGATCCCGGCTGGTACCATCCTCCGTCCCGTGCGTCCAGCAGCCGTCAGTTGCCGCACTCATCTCCTCGGTCGGATCATGGACGTTTTGCAAGCGCTATTCGGCCAACAAAACCCCGCCTACCGTTGTGCAGCGGGTTTCTCCGACTCACCATATCTCTTCTACTCTGGTTTCAAGCCCGATGGCGAATTTTACTTGCTCTTCCAAATCGGGTTCGGTGGCGTGCCTGCGCGACCAATCGGCGACGGACCAGATTGTCACTGTCTCTTCCCAGCTATCAAGTCCATCCCAGCTGAGAACATCGAGCTCTACTACCCCGTCATTATCGAAGCCAACGAGGCATTGCCAGATTCTGGTGGCGCTGGTTTGTACCGCGGTGGTAATGCACAGAGGACGTTGTACAGATGGCTATGCGAAGGCGATGTCAGCACGCACGACGACCGATGGTTGACCAAGGCCTGGGGCGTCAACGGCGGAAAGCCTGGAAGTAGATCGAGAAAGGTTATCTACCGAAACAATAGCTATGGTACACCAGCCGAGAAGGACAACATGGAGTTCTGTCAATCGAAGCAAGATTTCATACACGTCTTCCCAGGTAAGTCGCACTCATAGTTCGTGTGCGTGGAACGCGAAACTGACACCCCCAGGCGACGTACTAGAATGGATAACCTGGGGCGGCGGCGGCCTCGGCGACCCCCTAACCCGCCCACCCGAACGTGTAGCCCAAGAAGTCCACCGCCGCCTCGT